AAGCTCACAAGGTCATAACCTGGTGTCAGATACTCAATCATCTAAGATTGAGAAAGAATAACATCAAAGTGACAAGAGAAATAAAGTCTATAAGTTCATGGCCACATGGCAATTGGGTGGGAGAAAGGGCCTAATGCAGTTCTTGTGCTGGTTGCCATCAAATAATAAAGGTATGAGGTGTAAAAGACCTAAATAGGTATCAGACAAGTCATATTTTTCAAACTCTAAGGACTGGGCCTTCATTACCCTTTTCCCCATTATGCTTTCATTTCTCCATTCTTTCATGCTCATAGGATCATAGATTTACAACTGGAAGGGGTCTTTGAGGTCATTTAATCCAAACTGTCATTTTACTGATAAGAAAATTGAAACTCCAAATAGATAAGTGACTTGATCAAGGTCATTCAGGAGGTAAGTAGCAGAGATTCTAACTCCCTTTCTACCTCCAAATCCCTTTGGTTCAATTAACAGTGGACTAGGTTCTTGAAGGCTTTCCTGGTCTTTAATGTTTCCTTTTAGAATAAAAATCATGATAGCTTTCATCCACACTCTTGTCAGGGTTATGAAGGGTTTACCTCCATTATCTTACTTGATGTTCACAATACCTCTGGGAGGGAGAACATGGTATAGTGGAAAGAGCCCTGGATTTGAAGTCACAGCACCTGAGTCTGAACTCTGGCTCTGTTACTTACTATGTGTATCATCTTTGGCAAATCACTTAACCTCTCTGATTTTCCTCAAGTGTGAAATGAGGGTGCTGGGTTAGATCACCCCTAAAGCCCTCCCCATCTCTAGATCACAGATTCTACTTTACAGATTAAGAAAATAAGGCTTAGAAAATCGAGTTGTTTGCTCAAGGTTACATAGTAAATGGCAAAGAGTCTGGACTTGAACCCAGGTCTTCTGATTCCAAAACTTCCAATATGTTCTTTCCACCACAACATAAGCTATTAGAAGGCAAATACTTTTGGGAATAGTCACACATTAAGTAATCTTCAACTAAGACCTAAATGGTTAATTAATACCTTTGTAAGGATTAGCCCAAAGCCTGTTCAGTGTAAGAATGGGGCATAGAATTGGTAACTGGGGTAGGAGCAGTGGTAGTAAAGAGAAGCTCATAGAAGAGGTAGAGGAAGAGGGAGGGGACCAAATAGATGAACTTCCCTTTACTTCACAATTTTTGCCATCTTGACTATGCCATTCAAATCATCCCAAAGGCTACTTCTGGAACATGTGCCAATAAATAGGTGTTCAGTTATTTCAATCGTGTCTGACTCTTTATGACTCCATTGGGGATTTTCTTGGCAGAGATACTGGAGTGGTTCACCGTTTCCTTCTCCAGTTCATTTTACAGAAAAGGAAACTGAGGCAAACAGTGTTACGTGACTTGCCCAGGGTCACACAGTTAGTAAGTGTCTGAGGCTACATTTGAAATCAGGAAGATGAGTCTTCTTGACTCGAGGCCCTGCACTTTATCTATTGCAGAACTAGGCCCAATAAATAAAGACAAAACACATAGATGTGAAGCAGCCAATATAAGACAATGTATAATTAAATGCTAGACTGTGTGGTCCAGATTATAAAATCCTTAGGCATTCAGAAGTGGAAAAGAACCTTGTTGGGGTAGTGAGTCAAAGAAGGCTTCATGCAAAAGGATGGCCTAGGCCTAGGTCTAGTCTGGGCCTTATCTAATGAGTTCATTTCCTACCTCATGTTTTTACAACAGAATGTAAGCTATTTGAAGACAGACTGTTTGTCATTTTGTCCCCAAGGCTGAGGAGAGTTCCTTGCATATAAATAGTAGATATTAAATAAATGAATGTTGAATTGAATTAAATTAAAAACATCTAACAAGAAAGGTAGGCTAGTTTGACCAACACTCCTAGAGTCCTAGGTCCTTTTTCCATTCCTTCCTGACTTGGCTGATTTTTTCCCATCACTCAAATGCCCTGTCTCATTCCCTGTCAGAGCCATATTTGTGTCTCTTTTCATTGGGATATTGTGAGTATTCACAAGAATTCAGTCCAATTTCACAAACCTTTATTAAGCATCTGTTATGTGCCAGGCACTGTGGTAGGTGCTAAGTGCCGAGGACAGATATGACATAGGCCCTGCCTTCAAGAAGTTTATATTATGTTTGTCATGGAGGGAGGGTGTTTATGTGTAAATGGCAAGTACCTAGATAAATTATATATATATATATATATATATATATATATATATATGAAAATAATGGGGTAGGGACATTAACAATCAGGGGGAATAAGGATAGATCTTATAGATGACACTTGATCTGGATTTTAAAGGGAGCTTTAGTTTCTAAGGAGAGGAAGAATAGAAAGTCTGTCCCACACCTCCAGCAATTTATGGCCCTACTCTTCATAAATATGGGTCTTGTTATGTGTACTAATAATGTGGCTAATAGTACCTGAGGTTCCCAGAGCCCCTCCCTGCATGGGAGCCCTAAGAGCTTTACAGACATGATCTCATTTACCTTACTCTACTCCAGTGAGAAAGGTAGGGGACAGCTGTCCCTACCTTAATTTTGTACACTATTCACTGACAGCAGAGCAAGACATAAAGATTTTCTTTTCTTTTTCTCCCCCTAAAAATTATTTTCAGGATTTTTGCCCTTTGCTGACTTAAAAAAAAATAAACCTGAAACTAAAGTCTTAGGATTTGAGAAAGAAAACCTTGGACCTTGCCTTGTAGAGCAGCTGAGGAACTTGATGAGTCTGCCCAGGTTTTCCCAACTTCAGCCCTTCCCAGCCCCTGAGGAAATTTGTCTGGCAGCCACCCACATGCCCCTATCAGGGCCCCTTTCCTTTCAGAAACCCTTTGTGTCAGAAAGGGGCATCGTGAAAGCCAGGCTCATATGGGCAAACGGGCCCAGCATTTATTTCAAACAGTTGTGAAATAGCTGGGTTGCTACAGGTGATGTTCAGGGCGGTGACGTCTGCGAGATGGATTCTCAGGTTGATCATTCCCATAAAAACCAATTCAGGACAGCAATATAACAAGAGGCCCCGGGTCTCAGTTTCCTCTGGCTCGTTTTGCGTGGCAGCCAGTAAAGTGATGTCTACAGTATCAAGCCAACAGTCTCCTTGTTGCCTTTCCCTACCTCTTCCTGCCCCCATCTTACCACATGGAACTGTAAAACACCTAGAAAAGTCCACAAGGGAACAGTACTCCTAACAACCGCTATCTATATAGATCTTTAAAGTTTGCAAAGCAGTTTTTTATATCATCTCATTTAAGACTCATAAGAACCCATAGAGGTAGGTCCTACTGCAGGGATTCTTAACCTTTTTTGTGTCATAGACCCTTTTGGCAGTATGGTGATGTAGATGGAGCCCTTCCAGAACAATTTTTTAAATATGTAAGATAAAATATATTAGATTACAAAGGAAAGCAAAGATTAGGGAAAATAAATATGCAATTATTTTTTCTCCATCCAGGTTCATATACCTCCCCCCTGAAATCTACCTATAGACCTTAGATTAAAAGCCCCTGTTTTACAGGGACTATTATTCCCATTTTACAGATGAGGAAACTGAGGCCCAAAGAGGTTAAATGATTTGTTCTAACACAGCAAATAACCATCAGAAGCGGGATTTGAACCCAGGTTTTCCTGATCCCACGCCCAGTATTCTATCCACTAGGCTACATTTCCTTTTCTTTAGGAAAGCCTGGGTTGGGCACCACAAGTTAGAATATAGAGATACCTGGAAGAACTTGTTCTGGCTACTGACTTTGGTGTAGAGAGAGATTAGAGGCCATTCTCCTAAAATCTAAAGTTATTCCAGGAATTATTGTACCAGGAAATGCTCCAAGAGCGACATAGGCACACCTAGGCAGAGCCCAACCTGTATTTCCCCCACAAGACTAGGAAAACTAATTTAGGTTCATCAGGACATAGGCATGAAGGTAGGGGTGGGGAGGGGTAGATCTTTTAATCCTTCCTTCATCTCTACCTCTGCTTCTAATTGCTACTGCCACAAATTCCCCTAATTCTGTTTTTCCCCTACTATCCTAACCAAGATATTGAAATACTACTTGCAAAGTGCCCTATCTCCTCTCCTGGTTCACCAATGGTTAGGGAGTCATCTATTAAAATCAAGAAATCTGCCCTTCAATAGTCAGTAAATAAATTCAATTCGATAAACAGTTATCAGTTGTTGCAGCCAATTCCAACTCTTTATGACCCCATTTGGGGTTTTCTTGGCAAATATACTTGGAGCGACTTCTCATTTCTGTCTCCAGCTCATTTTTACAAAAGACGAAGAGACAACCAGGGTTGGCTTGCCCAGGGTCATACAGTTAGTAAGTGTCTGAGGCCAAATTTGAACTCACTAAGATGAGTCTTCCTGACTCTAGGCCCAACATTGTATCCTCTCTGCCTCCTAGCTGCCCACCAATAAAAAAATCATTAAATGTCAACTATGGAGCAGGTACTGTATTATGTACTAGGAATAAAAACTGCAAACCATTTACAATTACATTACTTCCATTTTCCTGACCCTGAACATATGAGAGGGAGATAGGATACCCAGGCTAGGTAACCCCGATTTCTGCTTCCCTCTGTAAAAGTGTTTTCTCCATTTTGGGTATTTGTTCCCAGTATCACAAGAAGTTTCTGGTCAGATAGCTAGCTGAGATGTTAGGTTATTTCCTTTTGGTTCTCTGTTAATCCTCTCTTGGGGATAACCACTCTATTGCACAAAAAGCCTCACATTTTTTGCTCCATCTTGCTTTTCCAAAGACCAGTTGGCTGTTGGTAAAAACTAGACTAAATAGTTTAAGGAATTTATAATTAGCCTGTTGAGAAAGGGGAGATGATATATGATAGCTATCTCTAGGTTTGCTCTGTACTGCTCCAGATGGCAGACATAGGAAGAGTCTGCAGAAGATAAAAGAGGGAATCTCAGCTCAACAAAAGAAAGAACTTTCTACCAATTACAGAATAATAGACTCATAGAATTTGGAATTTGGCAGGGGCTTCAGCGGCCATCTAGGTCAACACATTAAAAAAAGAATTCCCACCTATAACATATTCACCAAGAGCTATGGCATCCTTGGTAAGTGGTTATTCAGGCTTTACCTGAAGACTTCCAAGGAGGGGTATCCCACCCACCCCCCAAGGCAAGTTGTCCCACTTTGGGATGGCTCTAGCCAAATTAGAGCTGTCCAGCAGTGGAAAGGGATGCCTCACAAGGTAATGAGGGTTTGATCTCCCAAGAGTGCGAGGATAGTCTGGGTGATATTGTAGAAAGAATTTCTGGCCTGCTGAGAAGTTGAACTAAGTGACTTCTAGACTCCTTCCAACTCTAAGATTCTGAGCCTATGAGTAGCAGGTCAAGTCTAAAGTTGTCACTTTGTGCCTTTAGCTTCTTTACCACAATATCCAGACTGCCTTAGTTCCCTTGTTCCTATACCCCAACCATTGATTTCAGTTACACCTGCTGAATGCTCCATCTGTGTGTCCTTTTAATTGCTCCCTGTGAACTTTCTTTTTTTTTCTTTTTTTCTTTTTTTTTTTTTAAGGCTAGGCAATGGGGTTAAGTGACTTGCCCAGGGTCACACAGCTAGTAAGTGTTATGTGTCTGTGGCTGAATTTGAACTCAGGTCCTCCTGAATCCAAGGCCAGTGTTTTATCAACTGCGCCACCTAGCTGCCCCTCCCTGTGAACTTTCTCTGGGATCTTGCTTCATGTCTGCCATGTCCATCTTCTGTCTTCTAAGCCCTCTCTTCCCTAAGCCTCAGAAACCTCATTAAATCTCCCACTTGCCCCATGAAAACACAGTTAGTAGGAGAGGTGCTAATAGCTTCCCTTTACCTCTTTCATTCTCAATCTCCAAAAAATTATCTCCCCAATCTCCACTCTAACTATCCTCTTCATAATTTACTTCATTTACCCTTGACCAATAAAGGGTACTCTGCATTTATATTATGGGCTTATTTTGATCTTGCTAGCTGTGTGTCCTATACAAATATTCAATTAAATGCAAATTAACAAACTTTTACTAAATGGCTACTATATGAAAGGCAAAAGGCAACTAGGTGCCACAGTAGATAGAGCACCAGCCCTGGAGTCAGAAGGACCTTAGTTCAAATCCAGCCACAGACACTTACTGGCTGTGTGACTCTGGGCAAGTCACATAACCCTGTTTGCCTCAGTTTCCTCATCTGTAAAATGAGTTGGTGAAGGAAATGGTAAACCACTCTGGTATCTTTGCCAAGAAAACATCAAATGGGGTCACAGAGAGTTGGACATGACTGAAATGACTCCACAACAACATAGAAAAGGTACTCCATTAGTCATAAGGGATTCAAGGAAGGAAAATAACACATACCTTTCTCTCATAGCACTTACAGTCTAATAGGCAGGCTATGCCATGTGCACTATAAGTATGATTCAGGTTATAAGATTATAGGAGCAAAAGAAGTTCTTTCAGATGAAACACTCCAGGAAAATTTCAGGAGGCAATCACTGTTATGGAAAGAGAGAGATTTCAGTAGGTGTAGATGGGAGTGGAGTTGCAGGCAAGAGAGCATGACCTATAGAAATGTGCTGAAATGGAAGAATACTGGATGAAATTATCCAGTACTCTAGCTAAACTATTGAATGCATAGAAAGGAATAGAGTGAAATAAAGCTGGAAAGGTAAATTGGAACCACATTGTAGAAGGCCTTAAAACCCAGGATAAGATGTTTGTATCTTGTCCTAGAGGCAACAGTGAGCCAATGAAGGCTTCTGAGAAGGGAGTGATATAGCCAGATTTGTGCCTTAAAAAGATAATTTTGGCAACTATATGTAGGATGGATTGAAAAGGGAAGAACCAGGAAGTAATGAGACCAATTAGGAGATTATTATTATTGCGATAAGCCAAGTACTAGGTAAAAAGAGTGGGAAATAAGATGGTAATTTTTATGGAGACAGACTATTGGATTTGGGAGAGAAAGGACAGGAAAGAATCAGAGGTAAAATCCTATGGTGCTGTGAAATCTCATGAAATCAGAGATTTCAATCAATTGGATAAAATTTAGATGAGAAGATATTTGTGAAGCTCTAAGCATATTGCCTGGCAGGCAGTAAGTGCTCTATTAATGCTTATTCCTCCTTCCTTCTTTCCTTCTTTGTAGCATCAGCCCACGGAGTCTGAGTACATAGTAGGTACTCAAAGAATGCTTACCAATTGGTGAATTGGTACCAATTGACCATGAAGATGACAATGAGAATGATGAGTATGAGTATGTTATAGTAGAAAACACCCTGAACACTAACACTAAACCCTAAACTGTAACCCTAAACGATGGGTGGCCACCAAGCCACTGGCTGCCTCCCTTCTACATGTAAATGATCTCAATTCCATCTTCTCCGGCAGACTTTTCCCTCTTCATCTTCACCCTCTACCTTATCTTCATACTCTTCTCTACTGTCTGCTTCCCTGCTGCCTACAAATGTTTCCATGTCTCCATCTTCAAAAAACTCTCACTTAGTCTGTTCATCCATACTACCACCACATATCCCTTCTCCCTTCTGTGGCTAAATGTCTCGAGAAGGTAATTGATACTTCCACTTCCTTTTTCTCACATGCTTTAAGTCTCTACAGTTTGGCTTTTGACCTCATCAATCAGCAGAAACTGCTCTCCCTCTAAAGTTATCAATGATCTCTTAGTTGGCAGATCCAGTGGCCTCATCCTTCTTGACCTCTCTGTAGCCTTTGATACTGTCCATCCCCCTCTTCTTTCTAGGTTTCTGTGACACTATGCTATCTTGTTCTTCTCTTTCTTGACTGACCACTCTTTCTCAGTCTTTTTTGCTTACTCTTCATCCAGGTAATGCAAACCATAAGTGTCCCATATGACTCCATCCTAGTGGCCTCTTCTCTTGTCCTTCTATACTATTTCACTTGGTGATCTTGTCAACTCCCCTAGATTCAATCAACATCTCCATGTGACTAAGTCTCAGATCTGCTTATTGAGCCATAATTTCTCTCACAACTTCTAGATTCACATTTCCAATCATATGTCTTGTGGACAGTTTAAACTCAATAAATCCAAACCTGAATTCGTTATCTTTTCCCCAATCCCTTGCTACTGTCATGGGCATCTCAGTAATCCAGGCTCATGACCTTCATGTTGTCTCTCTCACCTCCTGTACCTAATCTGTTGCCAAGTCCTGTTGATTTAACCTTTGTAACATCTGTTGTATGTATCCCCTCCCCTCTTCTAATGCTACCATCCCCTTGGTCCAGGCCTTCATTACCCCACACCTTAATTATTGCAATTGCCTGGTTGGTTGGTCCCCCTCTCTCAAGCCTCTTCCCACTCCAGTTCATTCTCCACTCAATCATCAAACTGATCTTTTTAAAGCTCAGGTCCACCTAAGTCACTCCCTTCCCCCCATTCAATAAATTCTAGCAGCTCTCTGTCATATCCAGGAGCAAATATAAAATCCTCTGGTGTTTCAAATCTGGCCCCTACACACATACATACCTTTCCAGTATTCTTACACCCTATACTTTCCCGGTACTTTGGAATCCAGTGACACTGACCTCCTTGCTGTTCTTTTCACAGGACATTCCATCTTCTGAGTCCTGAAATTTTCGTTGGCCATCCTCCACACCTTTAGTTCTCTCCCCTCATCATCTCTGCCTCCTGGCTTCCCTGGAATTCTTCAAGTTCCAGTTAAAATCCCATCTTCTTTAATGCTAGTTCCTTCTCTGTGAGACTAGCCCTAATTTGTCCTGCGTATATCTTTTTCTACATGGTTGTTTTCATTCTTTCTCCCCCCCCCCATCATCTCCTTGAAAGAAAGGATCTTTTGTATCAGATAGGTGGCAGAATGGGATTCAGATCTGGACCTGAAGTCAGGAACACTTGAGTTCAAATATGGCCTCAGGCACTTATTAGCTGTGGGACCCTGGATTAGTTACATAACCTCTGTGTGCCTCAGTTTCCTCATCTGTAAAATGGGAGTGATGATAACACTAACTTCCCAGGGTCATTATGAGGCTCAAATGATATAATATTTGTAAAGCACTTAGCACAGTACCTGGCACATAGTAGGTACTTAATAAATGATCATTTCTTTCCTTCCCCTCTTTGTATCCCCATCCCTTAGCCTTGGCATATAGTAGACTCTTAATGAATGCCTACTGACCTGGTGATATTGGTCAAGATGTTAATGAAAATGAGAAATATGCGTATGTTGTAGTGAAAAACACCCTGAATTTGGAGAACTAGGTTGAAAACTTGTCATGTGAATTTGAGCAATTTGAACAAATCACAGAATCACAGAATTTAAGAGCTGGAAGGACCTTAGCAATAATCTAGTAGGGGAAAAATGTGTGTGTGTGTGTGTGTGTGTGTACATATATACAAACATGACATTCCTGATAAGTGGTCAGCCATTTTCTGTTGAAAGATCTACAAAAATAGGGACCCACCCACCCTTAAGCTAGCCCGTTCCACCTTTAGACAGCTCTCATTTTTTCCAACGTGAAGCCTAAATTTGCTCTCTTCACCTTTCACCCATTGCTTTTGGTTCATTTAATCTCTGAGACTCAGTTTCCATCTGTAAAATGAAAATAGTAATATTATTACTATCTACCATACAGAGTTGTTGTGAAAACCAAAAGATGTGACATATAGAGCAAGCCTTGTAATCATAAAGCGATATAAACATTACCTACAATGGTGATAATGATTTCCCTGGGGATATCTACACCCAAATAAAGCATCTGGTCTGAATGTTCCTGGATAAGTGGAGCTGGGAGACTCTTTGAAATGTGCTTAGGTCTTTCATTGAGAAAGAACTGAAAAAACTAAATTGAAGCAGGCTAGGGGCAGAATAGACTCTTGCTCCTGGTCACTCTAGTAAATAATGAGAGAGTTAAGCTAGAAAGGGCGAGACAGAACCAGATCCTGTTTGCCAATGTCTCTAGGGACTTAAGCCTGTAAGAAGCTTTGTTAAGTTTTGTTTATTTCTCCCAGACTGTGACCCTTCCAACTCTATGATTTTTTAAAAAGATTTGGTAGTTAACAGCTGGGAGGGGCTCGCTGGGCTGTCACACCTTCATAGACAGAAGGATTAGCCGAGGTGCTGGTGACCTGTGTGCCCCTTTGCAACTGGCTGGGTTTCTAGCATTCCTGGTGACTTGCTCATGAACTTGCCACCTTGTGGGTTTGTGACTGATGAAAAGGGTCCTTATTCTGACTCCTCCTGGGCTGCTGTGTTCTGAAAAGGATTCCTGTGTGGTCCATTGATCACGTTCTAAAGTGTAAAGCTAATCAAGGCCAGAAATGAATCAATGAGCCTTGGCTATAGTCCGGCTTTTCCTGTACCCTGAAGCTCTTGTCAGTTTCCAGTGGATTCTGACATTTCATTCTCCAATTCTAGAAAGCTGTTAGTGGACTCCCCCTCCTTCCCCTTCTACTACATAAAGTCTTCAAAAATAACTTTGCAAGCTCTCAGCCTCCATACCACTTTTCCTAACTCCACCCACTTGTTCTGAACAGGCAGTCAGAGCTATCTCAAGGTGTCTGCTTCACTCTGAGGAAAGAAGTAGGGTATAGCCCTAATGTGACACAGATACAGACAGATCCTCAGAGAGTTTTTATTGGAGACGCAGGTGCCTTCAACTTATAGCAGGCTAAAAGCAGACAACTCCAGTAAGGATACTAGGTAGATATTCTTGGGCCTAGGCCCATAGCCCCACCCCAGCTATCACCTCTCTCCCAGTCCCTTCTCAAGTCTCAAGTGCTACGTGTCTGAATAAAGTCTGTTGTTAAAGTGGACTCTGATCAGGGCCAACAAGGGTCTAAGAGCTGAGGTAAGCAATTTGTCTCCAATGCCCTCCATTCTCCCCTTCTGGGTCTCCACCCTGGCACGGTGTTCTTCTTGTTTATCTCTACTCATCAAAATCATACTCTCAGCTAAATGAAATCCCATAAACTAATTCATTCTGTGTTGTCAATGACTTAATAATTTAATGTGGAATGTGGGAGACTTAGGCTTTTACTAGGCCATAAGGTCTAATGATGAAGGTGAGGGTGGTAGTAGTACATATAGTAAGTGAAATTTATATAGTGCTTTAAAACATGGAAAACACTTTATATTACCTCATTTGAATTTCACTCTATTTTTGAGGTAGGTACTGTAGACATTATTGTATCTGTTTCACAGATGAGAAAATTGAGGCTCTGATAAGTTAAGGAATTTGTCCATGGTCATAGAGCTAGTAATTGTCAGAGATAATCCTGGAACACAGGTTTCTTGACTTCAAGCGCAGTTCAGGTATCAGAAATGAAGGAGATAATTTGGGGCTGCAGGAGAAAAACTTTCCAGGGCCCCACAAGGGTAAGCATCTGTTTATCTTCCTTACCCATAAGACCAGTCTCATTTATGGTTTCCCTTTTCTCCCCAGAAATCCTATTCTTTGCTTTCAAGGGTGGATGGGGGAATACTCTATGAATTGTAAAGGCCTAGAAGACAAAGCATGAATCCCAGATATTTGGGCCCCTCTTCTGTCTACTATGATGTTCTTGACCCCTAGTTCTCTGTCCTCCTACTGTCTATAACATAAATTATCCATTTAGCATACTTGGCCCGGCGATGTCTTAGAATCATAGGAATTTGGGAGGGAGATAAGAGTGAGCAACATGGGTACAAGGTCTTGAGGAAAGTGTGCCAAAGGTAGACTTTGTCATAGACTCAGTCCCTAAGGAGTTAAGTGACATTAAGTGGTAATTGAGGGTAGAGGGAGAATGTGGGATGGGATTCTTAAGTCTTGTGCTACAGAACCCAGAAAATAAACTCAGAGACCTCTCACCATAGAACTTGCTACAGCAAAGGAGTTGGCAGAGTGGCAAAGGGAGACACTGGAATCTTGGGTTCAAATCACTCCTCCATGGCATAGTGGATAAAAAACTGGACTTGGAGTTAGGAAGATATGGGTATGCATCTCACCAGGTGTATGACCTCGGGGAAACCTCTCTGAGCAGTCAGTTTTCCCTTCTGGAAATGGGGGGTAATAAACACCACCTTCCTCATGGGGTTTTTTGTGAGGATTAAATGAGATAAGGTGAAGCACTTTTGAAAACCTTAAAATGATATGTAAATGTTAGCTAATGACAGTGTATGTGACAATGGCCTGCCACCAGAAGGCATGGATGAGGCAGCAGCACCAAAAGCCCTAACTGCAGTCTGTTACGAGTCATTCTGGCCACTCCAGGTAGCAGAAGAA